TAAATTGCGTTCACACGACAGCTAATACGAAGTAAACTAATGCGAATTAAAATTTTTCTTCTACAGTCAGGCATCAGTAAGTCTATTATGACGTCATTTGCAAATCACGTCATGTATGCAGAGCCATCCGTTGATACTTTATGTAGTGGCTACAGGTATTCATTGATTTTAGTGATTAACATACTTTCCCTCAATTTTTGAACCAAATATAGCACAAATACCTACATGTATATATAACCACCAACACGTGTCCTGTGACTTAATTGTGGCCTTACGCATGCGTCAAAATTTAATTCGAATTAGCTTCGCTTAGCGTTCACACGGAACTAATGCGAAGTAATTTAATGCGCAGTAAATTAATTCGAATTAAACTAATTCGCATTAAATTCTCCGTGTGAACGCTAAGCGAAGCTAATTCGCAGTAACTTTACGTTTAATTCGAATTAAACTCTCCGTGTGAACAGGGCATAAAATTTGACAATTTTTGTTTGCTTAAACATACTGTAAACCAATTATTATACGCGTCATTTTTTATTCGCGACTGACCGCTGGAGAACTAATCCGCGACGATTTATTTCCGCGAACAAGTGGTCATTTTTTTTTTTTTATTTCCACAAGTATTTTATTTTTTGCATCAAAATTTCATATCCGCTCATAAACTAGGTAAAATGCTACCGTAAGTACTGCTTATGTATTATTTAAGACATTCTGTGGATTGCGTCTATTTAAAATCTTATATCCGCACCTAAAGTAGGTAAAATGTTACCAAGAGTATACTTCTTACGCATTATTCACGACGCTCGAATGAAAATCGGTAAAAAAAATCGAGGAGATTTAAGTTGGTTTAAAACTCTCAAGTGTAAAAGTACCTCGTGCTAATTGGGTAATTGATGCTTTATAAGATCTACATAGCCAAAGGGCAATTATTATAAATGGTTGGGACGGAGCAGGACTGGGCCATAATTAGTTGTAATTAACCAGGCTATCTCCAACTCGTCTGTGACAATAAATGAACAATAATAACACAAGCTGAAATATTTATTGACATTTTAATCGTTTTAGACAAATATTTTTAGATTTTCCATTCGTTTATATATTTTTTCTGAATGTTTGTAATAAAACTTCAACTGCTTCTAGAACACTGAAATTCTTCCGTGATTACTTATTGAACCGTCGGGATCGGTACTCAAAAAAGGGCAAATAACTCTAATCATAACATGGGAAAATGAACAACTGGTTCGCGACGATAAATATCCGCGAGCAGAGGTTACTCGCGGAACTCGCGGATATTTATCGCACGCGTATAATACTTGGTTTACAGTATGACATGTAAATGTTTGAAGGGTGTCACTAAATACCAAAATAATATGGCACAAGTAGCAGTTCTACTGTATAGTATATTCTTATGTTGAAAGATACATGCACATATATAAAGTTATATCATAACAAACAAGTTACTGTTTGCTTCAAACGACCATCCCAAGTTGTCTTGAATTCTTTTAAATTATCTTTGCAGTTTTGGGCTATGTTGAAACTTCAAACGCGAACCTAGAATTAAGTAATTTGTTGAGATATTCCCACTGTGTCCATGATTTCAGGACATCTTGAACTCGTTATAGTCATTGATATATGATCGAAGATTGATTGATTATTGTTGTATTACGACGAATCGGCATTTTCGCAACCATTGTTCGAATCGACTACATATGTACAAACGTATATGTCACGGGTAATTAATCTCGCCCCTCCCCCCTTTCGTCATCACCCGATGATCAGTAAAGAATATGCTCATTGGGTATTTGACGATGTGCGATCAGAATGAGGTGCTCGCATTTTTAGTAAACTCAGGTGACCTATTGCTATCCGTTTTCGTCCGTCGTCGTGCGTTGTGCGTTGTGCGTCGTGCGTTAACATTTGAAGATTTTAAGCTTCTTCTCTGCAACCACTGAACCAATTTCAACCAAATTTGGCACAAAGCATCTATGGGTAAAGAGGAACAAAAATTGTGAATTTCATGATCCCTGCCTCCCAGGGGCCTGAGGGGTAGGGCCAAAACCACTAAAATTAATGCAATCTTTAAAAATCTTCTTCTTTACTCCTAAGCATCAAGCAGTCAAACTGTTTGCATGATTGTAATCAGCAATGAGTCCTCTACCAAAATTGTGAAATTCATGGCCCTGGGGTCAGGGGTTCTAGTGCTAGGGTGGGGCTAAATAAGTAGGTAGTGAAAATGCATTATTTCTTTGAAAATCTTCTTTTCTGCTCCTGGGTATTAAATAAACTAACTAAGTACATAGTTATGATGAGTTAGAGTGCCTCTACCAAAATTGTAAATTTTATGGCCCCAGGGTCAGGGGTTCTGGTGTTAGGGTGGGGCTCTATTGATTATATAGTGAAAATACATGAATTCTTTGAACATCTTCTTCTCTGCTCCTGGGTATTAAATAAACTAACTAAGAGCCTAGTTATGGTGAGCAAGAGTGCCTCTACCAAAATTGTGAATTTTATGGCCCCAGGGTCAGGGTTTCTGGTGTTAGGGCGGGGCTCTATTGATTATATAGTGAAAATACATGAATTCTTTGAACATCTTTTTCTCTGCTCCTGGGTACTAAATAAACTAACTAAGTGCCTAGTTATGGCGAGCAAGAGTGCCTCTACCAAAATTGTGAATTTTATGGCCCCAGGATTAGGGGTTCTGGTATTAGGGGGGGGGGCGGCTCTATTGATTATATACTGAAAATACATGAATTCTTTCAAAATCTTTTTCTCTGCTCCTGGGTATTAAATAAACCAACTATGTACATAGTTATGATGAACAAGAGTGCCTCTACCAAAATTGTGAATTTTATGGCCCCAGGGTCAAGGGTTCTGGTGTTAGGGTGGGGCTCTATTGATTATATAGTGAAAATACATGAATTCTTTGAAAATCTACTTCATTGCTATTGGGTATTAAATAAACTAACTAATAAGTGCATAGTTATGATGAACAAGAGTGCCTCTACCAAAATTATGAATTTTATGGCCCCAGGGTCAGGGGTTTTGGTGTTAGGGCGGGGCTCTATAGATTATATAGTGAAAATACATTAAATCTTTAAAAAAAATTCTTCTCTGCTCTAGGGTATTAAGCAGATGAACTACCTATATAGTTATGATGGACAAGGACCCTAATCTTCCAGAATTGTGAATTTCAAGACCCCAGGGTCAGGGGTACCATAGAGGGGGGGGGGCTGTACTTATATACTGAAAATGAATGAATGGTTTGAAATCTGCTCCTTGGTATTACCGTAATCAAATATCAAGGCCTAAGGGTTAGGGGTTCATGTGTGGTAGGGGCACTACTGATTATTGCTGAATATAACTGATTAGTTGAAATGCATTTTTTGTTCCCCTACCTTGTGTATGGGTATTAAGTAAACAAACTAAGCAACTGCTAAGTGTATTGTTATGATGAATTAAATTCAATCACTGGAAAGTTGTTGCATAATGCTCAGGTGACCTATAAGGCCCACGGGCCTCTTGTTTTAAATACTGGTAAAAAGGGATGTTTATGAATTTTCTTCATGGAACGTTTTACAAACCGACTCTTAGCGATGTAGTTATTCCTCTATAAATTGGCCAGTTATCGAGCCGGTGCTGTCATGAAAATAAGTACAATGCTTACTAATGCGATGCTGTAATATTAACTTTCTTATTAAACAAACTGTTCTGCTTTACAACTTCATAATGTTTTCCCCACCTCCATCTTTTGCCTTCTTTATACAATCAGAGTCTATATTTGTATTTGCAAAATCTTAAGTCTGCTGTGAAAGTTGACTCAATCCATGTTGTATACTTACAACGATCACGACTTTCTGATTTATAGTATTTAAATAGTAACCAGGAACAGGTTTGGGTAAAAAAAAAATCGTGTTAAACTTTATTCTATTTTTTTTTTATCAAAAACATTCTTTAGTAAGTGCATGCTCGGATGAAGTGGAGCGGTAGAGGGGAGGTGTTTCGTGGGTTCGCCTCCCCTTCCTTTTTGATTTTCGGAGTTATCATTATATAGAAAAGTGAGGGAAAGATGACCTCAGACCCCTCTCTCCGGTAGAAACACGTACCCTAATCCCCCAGAAACATGGATCCATGGTTTTAGTAGAGTACGAAGAGAATGCGACATATCCTACATGCAACTGAACACAACCCTAACCCCGTGTCAGTATAAATTTCCTTCTCCATTTCCCAAAATTTAATTTACCTTTTTGTTTTATACAAAAAAAGATAAAATATGGTTATCATTATGGAGATGTTAATATTCATACGCTATCTCTTAAAAAATGATACTATACAAACGTACGAACTGTTCTTGACATTGCTACTGAAATTGGAACATCATACTGGTATAGAAAGATGGGTAGTAATTTGAAATATAAAGAAAAAATGAAAATAAATTGGTGCGAGAGCTAGGATACCCAGGCTTTTCTCGAGAAAAAAAACGGAGGAGAGGGCAGCATTTTGCACGTAGAATTACGTATTCAAATTGGAGATTACGGTGAGATGCTTCTACATGTATATTATGACGTGACGTACTTAACTTGACGTTACGTCGAAGTCTCCCCCGGGTTTCACAACTATCCATTTTCAGAAAGCTCGTGTGACCTTATTGGTAATTGGAAAGTGGTGAAATTTTCTAATATTGTTGCATTGTGACTCTATATTATAAATATGCCTGTTGTTTCTTTTCAACAAATCACGATAAAATTTTAGAAAGAAATTCCACGAACGTTTGGATCAACCCTCGTATTTATCGTCTCTTTAAAGAAAAATATTTTCATTGATACTTCCTAGATAGAACCTACGAGATATTGGTTCACAAACAAATAAACACTCGCAATCATTGATAACGAAACGAAGACTTCAGGTATCACTAATCCTTAAAAGTATTTAAGTTTAAAATCTCATTCAATCCGTAGTGTATTAAGATCCAAAAAAAAAAAAAAAATAGAAACCACGTGACCTTATCTACTTCCTGGTCCAAACTTTATAAACATTCAAGCTTTATTAATAGCAACATATCAGTTTAACAATGAAAATCTCTAATAAAAGAAACTTGCTATTCCTAGGATATTTTACCGTTATATTCGGTGAGTTTTTCAAAAAATATTTATCATTTTCAGTTGTTTTAAAAGGAAAATTTTTTTTAGAATTTTTACGCATGCAAGTAGATCTAGTTCGTGTTGTCAAAGATTATCAATTAGTCAGGTTTTGAATTTTTAAAAAAATAAAAAGTCAAAGTTTTCATGGATTTTATTAATATTTTGAACTTTGCAATATATATGCATATATATTTTTTTAGACCATCAATCAAATATAATCGTGCAAGGTTCTTGATTGATACCTCAAAGGTGCAAAATTTCACATCGCTGCACAGTTCGCCGAGTATTTAATAGAAAACAACGCAGACCCCCTGTCCTTGTTCCGACTGATCGAACAATGCATAACTTGGATAAATTCCAGCAGGTTGTTTTAAATGCATAAAGAAATAAGATTACAAACGCGAATAAATCTATTTCTTTATCCATTTTTTATCAATTCTGGGTCTGAGTATGAATAATATCTCAGATGGCTTTTCTTGTAATTTTTTTTTTTGTCTGGAAGCGTCATCCCATTTTCAGAGTAAGCAAAACACAAATCTGTACATGCTTTGAATATATAATTATATCTGTCTCACTTCCTCCCCCCTTCCCTATTCATAGGGTTGGATTCAAGTTTCTAGACTTCACTGAACATTTCGAGGGTAACTGTCACGCCTTATTCGTTCCACCTTGTCACATGATACATTAGCGATCCAGAAAACTTTTGACCCGCGATCATGTTGATGAAAAAGTCAAATAATTCTTTTATTAATCCAAAGATGTCGGTATTCCCGTCTTCTGGCGGCCATGATAACTAACTTTTGATCCGTGTAATTCAGAATCTTTTGAAAAATAAATCACCTAATCGCTTTCTATTTTCCCTGGGTTTCAAAAGACGTGCAACCTATTTTAACAGAATGCCGAAAACATGCGTAACTTAAGGATTTATAGATCGGGGAAGTTAAATTCATTTGTGCTTGTTGAAGCATTTCAAAATTATACGTTTTCTGTATACACACACATACATGCAATTTAGAATTTAGTTTAATAGGCCAGATTTTAGATTTTCAAGTGGGACGGGGAAAGAAAAGATTTTTGCAAGCAATTTAAATATTTATATTTTGACTAAATGGTTGGTACTAGCTAGGAGACTGGCTAAATGGTTATAGTAATAAAAGAAAAAGTGAAGAACTAGTAAAGATGTACGGTAGATTTTCAAGATGAAATTGCTTATGGTCGCATGGTCGCCATTAATCAGGTAATTTGAATCCTTAGCTTACAATATCCCTGCAATTCTTATCGCACAGCACTAAGATAAAAACAAACAAAACAGAGCCACTTCACGATCCATCATACAGTCGTTATCTAAATGCTGTATAACTTCGTATCTTTAACTATTAAATTCTCTTAAATCTAAATATAGCAAGAGAACTTTTGACGTAGATGACATTTCTTTCTATACCTAGGTTATATGTTTACTTTAAACATTTTTTCATTGACTCGGTATAACTTTCTCTTTAAAATCTTCTTCCGAATGATCAACCGCTTAAAATTTCATAGTAATTGGGTTGTCTAAGAAGTATAGCATCTAATTCACTTTTAAATTTTAACAAGATTTTAAGAGTCGTAAATGGGCATTCCAAGTAGGATGACTAGCTCTATTTATAAAACAAGATAAGCGAAAAATAAGGCTTCCTGGACGGGAATTTCTTTATCTATACAAGTATATTATTTTGAAAAGTTAAGTAAACATAATTTTAAAATAATTTTTAAATGCATTATCAGATACCAACGGGTGATCTCGTTCATTACTCATCGTACAGAGTAAAAAGACGAGGTCACCCGAGGGTATCCGACGATATTTTAAATGATCTTTTCTCGTACGTTTATTTCAACAATTCAATGTACTTCACAAGGTTCTGAAAGGATTCTTTAAAAATGGAAATTATTATATACGACCTTTTGATGCAAATGGGTTTAAAGAGTAGAAACATGCACACTCCAATAATCAAATAGAAAGCGGAATACACATGACATGACATAATTTCTAGTGCTTCATCAAAATGAAAATTGTTTTTAAAAATACCAAGAAATTATTAAGGGATAATTTTAGATTCAATGAAAATATGTGCATTTTCAGCTGCGAAGGGCAAAACGAAAAAAGAGGAAGTGTGATGTATGTCCCCGAATAGATTTCCGCTAAATTGGTTGATCAGAAGCCGCACTAAAAATATATGCACCAGATTCAAAATTAATAAAAATGAGGAAAAAAGAACTATTTTCGACACTGTAGCACTATAACGGAAGTGGATTTTAAATGAACATGTAAATAATTGTACTATTTTCCTTCTTCGAAAGAAATTTTAAGGCGAAAAAATATTCTTTCAGGTTTTCAAGAATCATAAATTTGGGGTTAAATACTACATATTGATTCTTGCGTGCATGGGCAAATAATTAACCAAAGCGAACCTTTTTTTTTTTAAGAATTCGAAAATACGATTCAAGTAGACGTAACTCAAGATATCTGACCCGAAAAAGGTCTTTTGTTTTCGGTTTTTCACGCAGATTCAATTTTAAACTGATATGGACTGAAAATCACTTCCTGGTGCCACTTACGTACAGGGGGGATTTTCCCTGAAGTAAATAATAAAGATCCACTTCACCATGGATAGGTATTTCAAATAAAACCATAAAAATCATAAAAGCGTGCTGCCTATAGCATATTAGGAAGTGAAACAGAGGATAGCATATCAAATTTTCTGAAAGCAGTTTTTATTCGTCGAGATGTAAACTTTTTTGTTTACTTTGGGTATACATATTCAAAGACCTGAAATATCACGGTGCAGTTGTAAAACCCAGACTACCTCATAATATACCCGACTTTCGGTGCATTAGGCATTAGTTGTACGTGATTGTTTATACAGACAAAACGACAGGTTTCAATTTTCAAAAAACGTGTCTATTAGAATCTTTGTTTAATTTGGCGTGATCCATTATATCTCATCCATGCATTTAATGCAAAGAATTTTGTTTTACTGCGATCAGCACGAAAGGTTTATAAATATCTTGGATAAATTTAGAACCAGAAATATAAATACTGCTTTTGTGTTTTCTTCCCTCTTGTATCATAAAGTATTGCAAGCTGTGGATTTTTGATAATAAAATGAATATATAATGAGAGAGAGATCATGGGAAAATATTTGAATTTTTCTGAATTCTTTGTGCTGTGAACTTGTCATTTTCTAGCTGCAATAACGAAGCCCCATTTTTTTGGAGAAAACATCAGATTAAAAAAATCGGAGATGGCTACATAATTGCAGCTAGTCTTTTTTCTTCCACTTGTCTACAATTTCAAGTGAAAGATCTAGAAAACTTGCAAACTTGTCTTAAATGACATGGCTTTAGGTCTATCGATCGCGTTTGAATAGTTTGGTTGACTAAAGATAATCTCCCCACCCCACAAAAAAGAAGAAAAAAAACTACTCATCAAGCACACCAGCGGCGATAAGTTTAGAGTTTTATCAATCATTTGGGGAAACTTCCTGCTTTAGAAGTACATATTGTTTTAAAACTGGAGTATCGAAGCATCAAGAAAAAAGTCGTACAAAATAATATCAATATTGACAATCAAATTACATGTAATAAAACTATTTTGAAGACCTGCATTGAAACTAGAGGTACTGTGAGCACTAAGCTCACTAAATGATACCCCCCCCTCCAGTATGATTATATTGTCAAAGTACATGTTTTGCCCTGGGATGACCGAAATAAGTGTCAGATCAAAAAGTAAAATAGAAGGTTCACAATGGCACAATGTTACATCTGTGAAAGTCTCATTAAATTTCATTTAGTGGTAAAAGGGGAGCTGCAGATAAGAATTGGGTACCCCAAGATTAACAGACGGACGGACATCCCGATCACTACATATCCCCCCCCCCCCACACACGCACACACACTTTTTCAAGCGGGTAAAGCCTATATTACTTGACGGTCACCCGAGTGCAATTATGCCCAACTCAGCAACAGACCCAGGAAGTGTGGGTGAAGCAATCGCAACTCTCTGTCTCTGGCCTTTCCGATTGATTGATTGTATACTGTATCACACAATTTGTAAATTTGGGGTTAAATACTATATATTGATTCCTGCGTGCATGGGCAAATAATTAACCAAAGCGAACCTTTATATACGAAAATACGATTCAAGTAGACGTAACTCAAGATATCTGACCCGAAAAAGGTCTTTTGTTTTCGGTTTGTCACGCAGATTCAATTTTAAACTGATATGGACTGAAAATCACTTCCTGGTGCCACTTACGTACAGGGGGGGTTTTCCCTGAAGTAAATAATAAAGATCCACTTCACCATGGATAGGTATTTTCAAATAAAACCATAAAAATCATAAAAGCGTGCTGCCTATAGCATATTAGGAAGTGAAACAGAGGATAGCATATCAAATTTTCTGAGAGCAATTTTTATTCGTCGAGATGTAAACTTTTTTGTTTACTTTGGGTATATTCAAAGACCTGAAATATCACGGTGCAGTTGTAAAACCCAGACTACCTCATAGTATACCCGACTTTCGGTGCATTAGGCATTAGTTGTACGTGATTGTTTATACAGACAAAACGACAGGTTTCAATTTTCAAAAAACGTGTCTATTAGAATCTTTGTTTAATTTGGCGTGATCCATTATATCTCATCCATGCATTTAATGCAAAGAATTTTGTTTTACTGCGATCAGCACGAAAGGTTTATAAATATCTTGGATAAATTTAGAACCAGAAATATAAATACTGCTTTTGTGTTTTCTTCCCTCTTGTATCATAAAGTATTGCAAGCTGTGGATTTTTTATAATAAAATGAATATATAATGAGAGAGAGATCATGGGAAAATACTTGAATTTTACTGAATTCTTTGTGCTGTGAACTTGTCATTTTCTAGCTGCAATAATGAAGCCCCATTTTTTTTTGGGAGAAAACATCAGATTAAAAAAATCGGAGATGGCTACATAATTGCAGCTAGTCTTTTTCCTTCCACTTGTCTACAATTTCAAGTGAAAGATCTAGAAAACTTGCAAATTTGTCTTAAATGACATGGCTTTAGGTCTATCGATCGTGTTTGAATAGTTTGGTTGACTAAAGATAATCTCCCCACCCCACAAAAAAGAAGAAAAAAACTACTCATCAAGCACACCAGCGGCGATAAGTTTAGAGTTTTATCAATCATTTGGGGAAACTTCCTACTTTAGAAGTACATATTGTTTTAAAACTGGAGTATCGAAGCATCAAGAAAAAAGTCCCACAAAATAATATCAATATTGACAATCAAATTACATGTAATAAAACTATTTTGAAGACCTGCATTGAAACTAGAGGTACTGTGAGCACTAAGCTCACTAAATGATACCCCCCCCCCCTCCAGTATGATTATATTGTCAAAGTACATGTTTTGCCCTGGGATGACCGAAATAAGTGTCAGATCAAAAAGTAAAATAGAAGGTGCACAATGGCACAATGTTACATCTGTGAAAGTCTCATTAAATTTCATTTAGTGGTAAAAGGGGAGCTGCAGATAAGAATTGGGTACCCCTAAGATTAACAGACGGACGGACATCCCGATCACTACATATCCCCCCCCACACACACTTTTTCAAGCGGGTAAAGCCTATATTACTTGACGGTCACCCGAGTGCAATTATGCCCAACTCAGCAACAGACCCAGGAAGTGTGGGTGAAGCAATCGCAACTCTCTGTCTCTGGCCTTTCCGATTGATTGATTGTATACTGTCTAACGTTCCTCTCCAGAATATTTCACTGATATGGAGACGTCACCATTGCCGGTGAAGGGCTGCAAATTTAGGCCTATGCTCGGCACTTACGACCTTTGAGCAGGGAGGGATCTTTATCGTGCCACACCTTCTGTGACACGGGGCCTCGGTTTATACGGTCTCATCCGAAGGACCGCCCCATTTAGTCGCCTTTTACGACAAGCAAGGGGGTACTGAGGAACTATTCTAACCCGGATCCCCACGGGGACTGGCCTTTCCGACTAGCGGTAAATAAAGAAAGACCTGAGATATTGCGATTGCAATTTGAAGGCGACCGAATGTTTGATTTTGCTATAGGATAACTAATTTCATAAAATGTAAATGGTATCATCATTATATGGAGTGTTTTTAATTAGTAATTTTACAATGTTCCAGGACTGGTAAATCCAGATGAATTTGAACCGATCCCGCAAGATGGATTCTTCAACAACTTAAACCACCCGGACTGGGGAGCCGTCGGTGAGTACAATTCAGTGACGTAGCTTCCTGCCAGATCACATACATCAAAAAGCAAACATAGATAAAAATAAAAACTATAAATATTTACTCATATTGATATAGGTTTCATATTGCTAGCACTGATAGAAAATCAGCTCTGGTATTTAGATTTAGTCTGTCAGAGTCAAATTAAGGAAGTTCTTAACACTAACAAAAAGTGCTTTTTTGATTTGGAGAAAAAAAATTCATATAAAGGTGTGCATATTGAGACTTTATTTAATTCATCACCATGCCTCAATTCTGTAGGAAAAATGTTCAAATACTATGGAATATGCATGAACAGAAACTCTGTTGTTTACTTACATTGGGAAAATTAATGGGAGTAAAGAATTCAATTTCTTATTCTTTGTCTAACATAATAAATAAGCAAATTTAAGTCTATTAGAAATTGTGTAATTAACTGTAAATAACTTTTTTGTCTATATCTCACTTCTAAAGACATATCACTCTAACAGCATAAAAATAGTTACCATACAATTTGAACTCTGGTGTGAAGTGTTTAGAGCTTCCTTAATCGGCTTCTGGTGTTGCACGGTCTTGGAAGTCTGTTGCGTGGTTTATATTCTGGTCTATCTTCAATTTGCGTGTCATCAACAGCGCTACATTTATCTACTATATACATCTTAATGGAAATATTATACATTGTACATGTACGCATCACAGAATCAGCACAGCCAGCAAATGGTCAGGTTTCCCCCCAAAATGAGTTATCATCTGGGTTATTAAAATATAATTAAGAGATGTTTGTGATAAATGCTTCGGAATCACGAAAAGGTTTTTAAAAAAACAGATTTGTTTTAAACAAGGTTTAGGTATACCGTGTGAAGTTTTACGTCTAATGATATATTCTTTAACTTGGAGTTTTGCATATAATATTTCTCTTTTTTTTTAACTACGAGAGACCAATAAATTGGCAATAGATTCTGAATTACGGAAATTTTCCCCTATCTGAACTGGGTACCTGGTTATATGCAATCGCAACTTCTCGCAAAGGCGGATCCAGGGCCGGTGACCCAAGCGTGCCCCCCCCCCCCTCCCACCCCGTTTGAAATTTTTGTATGTAAAATATATATGTCCATTATCCTAAAGTCAAGGGAAAAATCTTTTATTTGTAAAAACTTGTCAGCCCCCGGAACACCCAAAAGGACCTTGCTTTAGACCCACTGGGGGCTTCAGTACAGCCGCCTTACTTTCTGCCTTCTACTGCACCCTCCCCTCCCGTTACGAAATTCCTGGTTCCGCCACTGTCCCGTGCCTCTTCGACAAGCGGAATGGTTTTGCCGTTTTGTATCTTTAATAATTATGGTTATGTCATTTTATACCTTTAATATGGTTGGTTGTTACATAATGTACCTTTGACATTATCCTAGACGACATCCTGATTCGGAAGTCCCCTCCGGCCTACCAGGATGGAGTGTACGAGCCCGCGGGACAGGACAGACCCAACCCTTTCGATCTCAGTGACAGCGCCCACAGCGGGGAGAGTGGTCTGTCCTCAGCAAGAGGAAGAACAGCCATGTTGGTGTATTTCGGTAAGAAAGAGAGAAAGAAAGAATGTGTGAGAGAGAAAGAGCACGGAGAGTTGATACTCAGTAGTTCCATACAATGAAATCCGTCTTATCCGACACATGTGAAATTTAATTGTACTCTGAATTTCGACCTATCTTTGTGCTATCCGACACCTTTTAAATGCAACATTGCATTCTACATTTCAAGTACTGTACATGTATATGTAGCAACACTTCTAAAGATCTAGAGCGTTAGAAAAAAAAAACGCGACCTATCTTGAAAATGTCTAATTTATTGAGTGTGAACAATCGAACTCCAGGTGTATTTTATACTTGAGAACAAAGCATTATTATGTGCATTGTGCAAACATACATTGGGTTCAGGTAGTGGATTTGCCACTTCTAATTTGACACAAAGTCGAAGACATCACCGGAATACTTGACAACCATTTAAAGGACTGCTCAAAACCAAAGCTGATAGAACTACAAATCTTAAATTTCATGTACTTAAATAAAGATTCTTTGCATATCCTTATAAGATTGCTATTTTTCTATTTGAATAAAAAAATTAACAGATTAAATTCTATTCTTAATGACGTCATATACAGGTGTGTCAAGGTCTACGAAAAAAAAAATCATAGAAATGCAAAAGCATGAAGCATCTCATTTTTTAAAAAAATTAGTCTGAAAGCGTCATGTGGATTAAAGAATATAAATACTTATTCCTGGATCAGAGTCCAAAGATGGATGTCCGAATAAGATATGTTTCTTTGTTTATCGTCACTGAAGTAGCTACATGTACATGTATTGTAACCAGATAACCCAGTGCTGGTTATTTTTTGTTTGACAGGGGAAACAGCCACTTTGAATAAGTTTAATTTCTGTGAAAGGAAACTACATTATAATAAAAGCTAAATTAATGAACAGCAATGAACTTTACTTAAACAAACACACTGTGGGTCTTTTACTCATATTTTTTTATTTATTACATGTAAAAATCGTGATGATTTCTGTTATTTTCTCTCTCTCTCTCTCTCTCTCTCTCTCTCTCTCTCTCTCTCTTGGACAACTGGAACTTGATGGAAAAGAAAAGTTCTGTTTACAAATATATGTTTACTAATCTTCTTAATAAATCATGCGGAATTATTCTTCATGTCGAGACATTTTAAGGGGTTGGTGTCAGTGGGAGTGTATCCGTTGCGATTGAATGTGTGTGTACTGACCATGCTGAAATATAGATCGTTTGTATTTAGTTTCGTACCAGTGATTTTTTTTGCTTGATAATAAGAACAAAGAATATACATATAACAGTTGGTAAATTAGTATTGCTTTTAAATTGAATTAAATTAAATTAAATGCTTGTCCAATGATAAATATGAAATACCAAAACAAATACCGGTGTTCTTTTGTTGTGTGGATACAATGTGTATACAATTATAGTATTACTATTTATTTATATTATACTTTCATGTAAATTACTTGAATCTGATTCGTCGAGAAACATTTGATAAAAAACACTACTACCCGCTGAATAATGAAGCCACGCCCGCCTGCGTAGCAACAGTCAACATTGCTTGACGACGGGTGGTATTCCAAAAAATAGCGACTGCGCGGAATTTATGCGCGCACGGTTCACTGTAATATGTATTCGTATAAAACATTCAGTATAATATAATAAATATTGCATGTAGTTGAGTGTAACATTGAAAATTTTCACCCCTCGAAAACCATTGTCAACCTCGGCTGCGCCTCGGTTGACAATGGTTTTCTTGGGGTGAAAATTTTCAATGTTACACTCAACTACATGCAATATTTATATAATCTATAAAATTTAAAATCATTGTATTATTTTTACTTAACATAATATTGGTATTTTTTTTCATATTATAAACATGATATGATCAGTATAATAACATTTCGAAATCCGTTGATATTCAGGGTTGATTATTTCTTTTCATTATTTTCAAGTTTTTGAAGTATTTGAAATTAATCTAAAATTTAAAATTTTTACACTTTATCTAGGTCAACAAATTGTCGAGGAAATACTAGACGTTCAAAGACCCGGATGTCCAAGAGAATTCTTTAATATCCCAGTGCCTAAAGGTCACAGATTTAACCCCAAAAATTTGGACAACCTTCAGATGCCCCTACAGAGGTCAAGGTTCAATCAAAGAACAGGGCAGACGGCAGGGAATCCAAGACAACAGGTTTAATCTGAATATTTATAATGACTGTCGCTTCAATTTAAAATCATCGTACATGGCTATTGTATAAAATACTTTGTTATCTATTTATGATACAAGTCTTTTTATGTACGTATAACTCTGTTTTATGCCCCCGCAATCGCTTCGTCGCAAACCACGGAGCGCCCAAAAGTATGATCCTCTCCAATTGGTAGGATAGAGAGAGCTATATGCGGACTCCAAACCGTGGGTTGAGACGATGCCGCAATCGAAGATTCAGGGGTATATTGCTTTTGCCCTGTCGTCTGTCTGTCTGTTTGTCCGCAAGAACTTAAACTATGCCCGTAAATTTTGATTGGTTAATTAGAGTTATGGCTTTTTCACATGTATATTCTTTGTGATATAAAAAGCCTTTCTTTGGATACATATTTTGGCAAAATTTTCAAACTTTGACCTGGCCGTAACTTTTGGTTAGGTTGTGCTAGGTCTTTCATACTTCACATGCATATTCTGATAAGACTCTTCAAAGGATATAATTTTTCTTTTACCTTTTCGTTTCTCTTTTAAGAAAACATTAGTCTTCGCCATAACTTTTAAAAGCCTCGTACTAGGACCTTCATATTTTACAGATGTACAAGTATGCCCGTGACAAGACCTTTGTTTGAAAACCAAAAACTTTGACGTTGGAGTTTCATCTGTTTTTGAAAAACTTAATCTTGGCCATAACTTTTGATTAGTTAGTGTTACTTAGTACTTCAATATTTCATAATTACGTATATTTCTAATGACAAGGTCTTTCTATGAGTATGGCTACCATTAATTTGACCTTTTGACTTTGGAGTTTGAATCAGATTTTAAAAAGTTCCATAACTATTGAACGGTTGGTGCATAGGCATTCATACTTCACAAATATAATAACTGAGATAGGTCCTCCCCTTTGGGCAACAACATCTATCATCTCTCGACCTTAACCTAAATTGAAGTTTGACTTGCATTTGAGGTTGTACAAACACATCTTGTTTTAAATTGGAATCTTTATATGCCGTATCAGTTTATAGTTTTTCATCAGAAGCCTCTCTTAAGAATTGGTTTTTAAGAATTCGATGTTCATATAGATCTTTTTATTATCTTATAAAAATGTTATATAAAAAACTATAAATATTATTTCTAAATATAATGAAATAATAAAAAGCTTAATCCCTATTATATTACACTGAAGTTTCATAAGTGATACAACTGCTGTACTTTCTTATCATATTTAGAAGAACAACTTTATTTTCTGTAAATAAAATAGTGCATTAAATAAACAAAATAATTAATATCACACGCTTTATGGTGCCATTTAAAATTCTGCACATGGTAAGAATTAAGAAATAAAGTTTTCGTGAGTGTTGCAGGATAACCTCCAAGGTCGAAAAATGTTGTTAGAAAGATAAAAGCCGAGGCGTTATCCGAGGCTTTTATATTTCAAACAACATTTCGAGACTGAGGAGGTTATCCTGCATCATTCACGACGACAGGGACTTTATTTCTATTCTACCATGTCTACTAAAATCACAAAAATACAGCTGATCCTTTCCTCTATAGAGAAACAAATTAGTGTCTCGATTACGCTGTTCCATTTAACACCAGAGAGAAAATTTGTTTGCTTACCTGTGTATGGAATGCAGACGATTTGAACTTTCGTTGCATTAAAAATAGGCTTTTTAAATTACAAATTTGTTCGTAAAAATGTATTGATTGATTTTAATGAATATACTTTAACAAAATCATGTTCATGTTTTACTGCTTTAGTGGGACTAAAATCACGTTGTTTAAATGTGTAGGGAGGTCCGTGGAATAGCTTAGCTATAAAAACCGACATTCATCTGCAACTTTTTGCAATTTACAGTGTTTGTAATGCAAAAGACGACACATCGATGTGGTCTACACAAGCATTTCATTCTATAGCCATGCAAACATGCATTTCAATTGTACGGGTTTGAAACGTGTTTCTGATCTGATAATTCTTTGATGACGTTCGTGATTTATTGGAGAATAATGTCTGCGGCATTTCTTTGATCTCCGCAATAATCGTGGTAGAATGTAAATTATATGCATTCCTCTTCTTTACAGTTAAACGAAATAACACCTTTCCTAGATGGCACTTTGTTTTATGGCCCTGGAAAAGCTTGGACAGACGCCATACGAGAATTCAAACGTGGCTATCTCAAAGTTAAGGACCCCAGTACATATGATGACATCACAAAACAATTTCCGGCGGACAACGACATCAGACTCCCTTTTGCGAACCCTCCGCCACCTGCAGACCACTACCTTAAACCCGTCAAACGATTTTTCAGTACGTATAAATTACTAGTAGTATATACACTGATAGAAAGGATTAAATGATTAATTGTTGCTCTTTTTGCAAATTTCCTAGACTTGATCTACGGGAATTATGAGAACTTTTCATAAAATGTTTTACTAAAGGTTAAACGAATAAATCTGAAAAATAAATTAATATTTATAAATTGTTAAGTTTCAGATTGTAAATAAGAAGATCAAAAATATCTAAGTCTTTTTTCTTCGTGATTTTAATTTGATTTTAATATTTAGGCATATATTTAAAGAACAGTTAGAGATTTTATTGAAAGCATGGTCGTAGGAACCGGGGGGGGGGGGGGCACGTGGGCATGTTCTAGTGTATAGTTTAAAAGAAAATTGATTTTTTCTCCCTAAATATAGAAAGAAAAGGGGTGCTTGGTGTTGATAAAAAGATCCTTAAAAGAACATAAATATTAGGAAGCAAAGGCAATAAAGAGAAAACGTTTGAGATATTTAAATCTAAATTTACTAATTCCTAGGACTTGGAAACATTCGAGGATTTGAGAATCCGTTTTTGCTTACGTTCGGTGTTCTCTGGTTCCGTTGGCACAATGCTATTGCCAAACAGCTTGGAGACATACATACACACTGGAACGACGAGGAATTGTTCGAAGCTGCAAGGAGGCATGTCATTGCTCATCACCAGGTGCTTAGAATTTACAATAAATGCCCCCTTTTCGAAACCTAATACATTTAGTCTTATTCCAGGCAAAAGAAAAGTGCAAGACGATAATATTTAAAACAAAAGTACAGTACACTTTCTGATTTGAAACACAATGTCAAATTTTTAACATGCAGAACATTTTAGATTAAGTCAGCTTTATTTGATTAAAATTTGATGGAGTTATGGTTTAAATAGTTATTTGGGATCAGGAAATTAGAATGTTTAGCCCTCTGTTTTATAAGAAACTTCCGTTATATTTACAGATATTACTGTTTTTTCTACGAGGTATCACTAATAATAAGTGTCAAAGCGATTATTCTTTTGTTCTTGATGATCCGCAAACATTTTGATATTTCAGCATCATGTTTATGTTTTCATTTAAATAGAAAATAGTGATGTATGATTGGCTACCAAGATGGCTGCAAATTACATCGAACGGGAGGTTTTTCAACATTCCAAAATATTCCCGTGGTCCCAATGAATGTAAGATTGATATTAATAATTATCTTTATTAACCTAAAAGGCCTTCATTATGGATTTCCTAAATCCTTCCCTAAATGAAATATAGTTTATCCATAAATTTGGCACGATTTTTTTATCCCCACTCAGCTCGTTGGCATTAATGAAAAACAAAACGGTTTGGTATAGCAAAAGTGAAAACTGATGAAGTCGATGACCCGTTTTACAAAAGACTATAAAGAAAAACCTTAGCTGACTATATATGTCTTCATTTTGCTTAGAAAAGATTATATATATAACAATTTCAAATTCTATGAAAATTGGAAAATTATAAGCAGAATTAAATTTGCTCTTGCATTTAAGTCGTAATATCTTTTGCAATATGGGCCTATGATCTTAGGTGTGTAAATGAATCGGCACTTTTATTATTGTATTATTTCATTATTTACTATCAAAAAATGGTATATCATTCCTGCTTAACATGTAGCATTTTTTGTTTGTTTCTGATAAATTTTGGTTCACATAATTTTTATTTTTGTTGTTTTTTTTTTAATTTTTTTAAATAAATTTAATTTTACTGAAGAAACTTCATAGTAATCAAGAAATATTCTCTTTGAATGCTCCTCTGAAATATTGTTTAACTACATGTTTTTTTTTATTGAAGTACATGTAGAAAAGATAATGTATTCTTATTGAAGAGTTATTTAAGAAATAAGGTATCATTTTTAAACATCTATCGGGCTATAAATACGGGTTGGTCACGAGATTAAATTCCATTTTATGATGAATTTAATCTCGTACCAACCCGTATTTATAGCCCGATAGATGTTTTAAAATGATACCTTATTACTTATATTTACATTTGTGACTTATTCATACTTTATATTTGCCTAATTGTGACTTTTAGCGTGTGAAATGCATTATTTTTCAAACTCAACGGAAAGTATGTAATCCACTGAACGCGCGTCGACCCTTTATGACGTCACTGAGAAATTACGTCAAACGATTATCCATACGCACATCTATGACCTCTTGACCCCGTAACTGTATTTATACAGTTATAGATACGTATTCCTTTCAGTAGTGTTATATAAAGGAAAACATTTACAAATGTAAATATATATTTATAGGAAGAAATATAATATAGTAATAGGTTACTTACTGCATTAATATCTTTATGAACTTTCCATTTCTCCAAAGCTTGCACAGGAAGGCTATGCGCTTTTAATGGTTATGATTCCGAAATTCATCCGGGGATTTCTCATGAGTTCCAGACGGCAGCTATGCGTTTTGGTCACACACTAGTGACTCCAGGCCTTTGGATAAGGTTAGATTGATTGATCGATTGATTTACTGATTGATTGATTGATTATTGTTGTTTTACACCGAGTCGGCATGCAATGTTTCAGCCGTATTTCGGCGTTGGTTAGATTGACAGACACACGATAAATAAGAAAAAAAATACGTTGATTTTGAAATATGACTTTATGCAGAATGTTCTTCTGATTTCTAATTATAAGCACAAACATTGATCAAATTTTGATAGTAGATAGAATGGTTTATGCACTTAACATATTTTTAAAAATATAATTCATCAGCTAATAATCGAACTTGCATTTAGTCAAACATAATAAATTCTTGTGAAAAGGAAGTTTTTTATCGTAAAAACAGAGGGCCGAAAAAAATTAATGATTGTAACTGGAGGAACAGGACGATCGGAATCCCTAACCAGCCACATAAAGTCCACGCCATCCGACTCTGCAATGCCTTCTGGAACAGCAGGGTAAGGCTTAAGTGTTTATAGTAAAACATGCTTATGGAGAAGTGCCAGGAATGAGCATTTTTGAATCGCTAAAAACGTACTTAGTAATTCGTAATAACCGTTAAAATGACAATGGATTTGAAAAAAATTTATTTGAAAATCATTTCGCTGTAAGTGTGAATTCATTATAAGTGTGTTCGTTATAAACGTGTTTGACTGTATTGTTACTTGCTGAAGTCAAGTATGAAGTGGAGATGCTTGTATTTTAAAAATCATGCTTTTGAAAGATTGAACCTAATTTATTACCGTTACAGTTTAATATTGTTGTTTTTCGTCATAGAGACGTGTTTACTTTAAATTTCCTCATTCAACTATGATCAAGAATTCTTTTTTGTGATTATATTTACTTCTTGAGAAAAGACGGCATGGTCATTGTCATTTTTAAAGAACAGTGTATGTCATTTTTTAAAGTATGTTTTCTGTACATGTATTATATACAATATACATGTAGCTAGTATATTGAGTTATTTTTGTCTCGTAATGTTTTCGCCAAAAATACTTGCAAGCGAATTTGCACAGTTTTAAATTCGTTCACAGATTTTGCTACTTTATAAAACTTCCATTCTGAGGAGCAAACGGGTTGAAATAGTCTATGTTGCAATAAATGTATGCTGTTAATTTTATTGATACTAGTAATCACAGGAAGAAATATGGAATAAATATATATATAGATATATAAATTCGAATGAATCAAGATTAAAATACAGTGAAAACTGTCATCCGTCACACTGTAAATTTCGACGTAAAGTTTCACCCCCTTTTTCCTTACACCATGCAATCTGACACCCTGTCTATTCTGACACAAAATTGATCTCTTAGTGCAGGTCGGATTAGACAGGTTTCACTGTACATTATTTTGAATGTTACATGTAACAGGAGCCGGTAGAGAGCATGTTAGACGATATTGTTCGTGGTCTTGCTTCAACTTTAGCTGAAAAAGAGGATCATATAGTTGTTCCAGATCTTAGGGGTAAAATTTTCTTTATTATTGATTATATTCTGTTAATCTATCAAGATCGACTATTATTCAGATGACATTTAAAGTTCTGTAATAGAATAACTTTCAAAAAATTTATTGGTGCATTTTTTTAAGCTACCAAGAGGTTAAGAGAACCCCCTTTTTACTTTCTGAAAATCTAGCAAATATTAAATTTTTGCAGAGCATCTTTTTGGACCATTGGAATTTTCTCGGCGTGACCTTGTTGCTATAAATATCCAGAGGGCGCGGGAACATGGTCTCGCAGACTACAACACCATCCGAAAAGCGTTTGGTTTGGAAGCAGTGACTTGGAGCAACCTGACGACAAATACCGATGCATCTCGCCAAAAAGCCATCAGTGATCTGAGGTCTCTGTACAAGAATTCCAGTTCACCAGATTTAGACATCTTTGTCGGGGGATTACTAGAGACTACAGAGGATGGACCTGGCCCATTATTTCAGAGCATCCTTATTGACCAATTCATGCGAATCCGTCACGCCGACCGGTTCTGGTTTGAAAACAAAGACAATGGGTAAATATAAAAAATAACTCCCTTCCCCCACCCACATTTCCACATTGATAACTTTATTATTATTTTGCAATCAGCAATTGATCCGTGCTAGCGCGGGAAATCAATTAATATTATACATATGTATTAAATAATAATAAAATGATATCAAATGATGCTTGCGTTTCAGATTAACAATATCTTTGTAGTTTTTGCAGACCTGATCTTCCAACAATCTGTTTGAATTATCATCGTTAACAACTGCGCACAGTTAGCAGATCTTTTTTTTTTTTTTGTATTCATATGGAGCAGACTTGATTCAAAAACTGGTGCACGAGAAGAAGGAAACACTTGCTGTGGCCTTCAATTCGACATTTCAATAAATCGACGGCGATTGTCAATTAATAACAATAGATACTTTCTTTCAAAAATCGACTCTATATATTTAGCATGAGATAAGATATACCACGGTGTCCGACACATCTGTTTCATACTTGAATATTGATTTATTAATTAGAAAGAAGCATTAATGGTAACATTAAAATAGAGCTTTGTGAAGAACGAGATGACTTCTCATGTGGAGTTTAAGTCTCTCGGTTCAGCATGCTCTATGTATGAACAGTTTCTAAAACGAGACAAGCTATTGACAAAGAGGTTGATAAAACAAGGATATCAACAGTCTCGTTTGAAGTCATCTTTTCGCAAGTTTTATGATCTCGTCAGCAAGTACAACGGTCCTATCTTTTAGTCAAATGCTGACTTACAATTTTCTTACACTTTTTTGGCTCATTATTTTCACACTAAATTGTCTTTAAAACGGATTTTGTTTTTCTACGATCATGACAAGGAGCACACGGCGGGTGTGACTGGTTGGCAGAGAATGCTCACTCCTCCATAGCACCTGATCCCATCTATGATGTCTTATTGGTTCACATTTCCTCTGCTCCCGATCTGTATTATTTAAATGAACTTTGAGCTTGAATACCATTTGTCTTCACCATAGTTCATTATGTATTATTTATAATTCTTAACACGCATTCTCTGTAAGCACCAAAAAAAAAAAAACATGAAAATTGAGGAAATGTAAATGAATATTTATCGGTTTCTAATACACTCTAACAAAAATCATTGGATCATATGATAACACGACCTTTTAAGGTACACAGGGCATATAATCGTTTATTCTAGAAATATTCCTCCTGTAAAAAAAAAAAGTCATGCAAACTGACATGGTTTCTGATAATTTGAAAAATGAGGAAATTGGAATTTTTTGAGATCTTTGACACTAAATAAGAAAAATTGTCCGCGGAAGTTTCCCAGATCTTATATGTGTTATTATACTTGGGAATAAGTAGTGTCATCTCATGAAAAAACATAAGTGGGCTTTTGATCCTATTTTTAGTAACATGTATCTATAAATAGATATATTTTAGAAAAATGTGAAAAATCAAATTTTGGCAAAGTTTAAATTGTCACTGCTGCATAATTAGAACGTATTTTGTAAAATTTGAGATTTTAATGACAAGAGCTGGATACCACTAGCTGGTATGGATAATGGTTTAGGGGGTTTTCCATTTCTATTTTTAGTTTCACGTGCCTAAATATAGATATGTCTCTGAATATTAGGAAAAATGGCATTTTTGTTCTTATTGGAAGCTTCATATAAAAAGTCCTAACAAATAAAAAACTTTCTACAATATGCTTTAAGAATGTACATGTGTTTGTACAGTAATTGCTACAATATTGAGGATGGACTCTTGTATCATTTTATTGCAACAATGGCCTAAAAATAGATTACTCGAATAATTGAGAAAATGTAGATTATTGCACCTATTCGGGCACTTTTTAGATGTAGTTGCTGCATTATTAAGAAATATATTGTAAAATTTGAGATGTGAATGACAAGATCTGGATACCACTAGCTGGTATGGATAATTGTTGAGGGGAATTCCCATTTCTTTTTTTAGTATCAAGTGGCTAAATATAGATATGTCTCTGAATATTAGGGAAAATGGCATTTTTGTTCATATAAAAAGTCCTAACAAATATAAAGCTTTCTACAATATGCTTTCAGAATGTACATGTGTTTGTACAATAATTGTCACAATATTGAGGATGGACTCTAGTTTCATTTTATAGCAACAATGGTCTAAAAATAGATTACTCGAATAATGGAGAAAATGTAGATTATTGCACCTTTTCAGGCACTTTATAGATGTCATTACTGCTTAATTAGGAAGTATATTGTAAAATTTGAGATGTTAATGACAATAGCTGGACACCAATTAGTCGGTGTGGACAATGGTTGAGGGGGTTTCCCAATTCTATTTTTAGTATCACATGGCGAAATATAGATTTGTCTATTAGGAAAAAATGACAGTTTTTTGCTAATTTGAATATTCCTAGAAAATGTCTTAAATATAAAGCTTTCTACAATATGCCTTCGAAATGAACGTTTAGGACTGATTCTTGTTTCATTTTATAGCAACAATGGTCTAAAAAGATTCCTCGAATAATCGACAAAATATGGGTTATTGTACCTTTTCAGGCAATGTTGGAAAGAAAAATAAATGTTACACCTGGGTAGACATTGTGTGACTGACAAATACTTCAAAACTATTTAGTGAAATGCACACTTTCTGAACGGGGGCTCTCTTTTCTATTTACAGCACACCCACTCATATGTAGAAACTTCTCAGCAAAAGAAGAAAAATCACAAAGGATTAAAGGAGCTTCATTGATAACATATTTACGAAATATACTGCTGCATACAATATGTCATGAACAAGAACATCTGGGAAATGAAAATATAGATTTTTGCACTGTTTTAGACATTGATAGAAAATTTGAATACTCTTTATTAGAAACACAATGTCACTGTCAAGCACTAGAAAGAAATTACTAAATTCAAAATGTTTCGAGGGAATTCCCATTCCTATTTTTTAGCACAAAAATAAACCTTTGATTCGTCTTAATATATGAGGTAGAATATAAAAAGGACAAGATAGGATAAAGCACTTCTTGGCCCCTGATTTTGATGCCTTCGAGAATGATGCAAAAGTTTATTCATAAAAGCCTTTGTCACCCCTGTCACAAAATGAGTATAAATTTGATGGAAAATTTGTAGACTAAGTGAATGATGAAAACGGAATGGAATATGGTGATAACAACTAAAATTCAAGCTCAAATTCTATTTAGACAATGCAAATTGGGTGCAAAGCAAACATAGACCTCCCAAAACATTGAATTAGGTGTCATGTAGGAGTGAGTATCCCGACTGGTCACATCCGCAGTGTGCTCCTTGTCATGAAATAACCCGAAAAATCCGTAGACAATTGATTGTGTAAATAATGGCCTAACAATTAGTATGTAAAACAGTATTTGACTTAATGATAAGTTATATTTTCCTGAATTCATTGCATCGACCATTTAACCTGGGAAATAATAACTTCAAATGAGACTGTACGAGGGTTGATCCAAAAGTTCATGGAATTTCTTCATATTTTATTTATTTTTCAGTGGAATTGGTTGAAAATTCCAATTGATGAATATTTCAAATTGAAAAACATTTTTAATATCTTTGTGTAACTTTGTGGTAGTTGCCATAGAAACGGTTGTTTGGAAATCATGCATTTATTATCATTTATATTCTTAATTCCTAAAATAAGAATTAAACCGCCCTATATGGTAAATAAAACAAAACCATGTCATTATTACGATTGCTTTATCTTTTATAAACCTTTGGGTGAGAGTTTTAATTTTTGGACAGTGTTCATTTTTGTAGAATCAAAATTTCAAGTCACACAATCCCGGGATTTTTAAACGCATATAATTGACAAAGGCTTTAAAAATGCATTTAGTTACTGGTTTTCCAGTGGCATAAGAATTTTGAAAAATAGACCTTCCATGGACGTTGATAAAAGATGTGATCGCTTTTTAGAGGCTCTATTTAAGTAAGTATCCCCCTAGACAAACTAAAAATATTGACGTTGTCGGCTGTTGTACTGTTTTTTTTGCTATTGAAAAACATCATATGGAAAGATGGGTAGATTTTTTTTAAATATTTATTTTTGAATATTTTATACTTACAAAATAAACAAAATACACACGTCAAACACCCCGGGTTACCCAACAATCCACACACATTATGACACACCTGTTGATTGATTTCATCAAATCACGATTAAATTTTAGAAAGAAATTCCACGAACTTTTGGATCAACCCTCGTACATATGTTAGTTTCATCAACTTGTTTGTCAATTGCTTACCTCGTTTTAACCAATTTCAAAGGAAGAAGATGTTCTTGCGTCACGAATTAATTGTGACATAAAAATCACATATAAGAAAATACCAGTTTTCTAAAAAAATTAAAAGTCTTTTAAACTGAAAATACAGGTACACTGTCAAAGACTAGAATTAGGACAACTAGCTAGTTGTGGCCAGCTACTGTCATTTACATCTCTCAAATTTTACAATAAACTTCCTAATTATGCAGCTAGGACATCTACAAAGTGCCAGAAAAAGTGCAATAATCTACGTTTTCTCGATTGTTCCAGGAATGATTTTTAAATTGTTGCTTTAAAAAGAAACAAAAGTCCATCCTCAATATTGTAGCAATTATTGTACAAACAAGTGTTCATTTTGTAGGCATATTGTAGAAAGCTTTACATTTATTTGTAAAGACATTTTCTACAAAGATTCAAATATTTTCCCTAATATTAAGAGTCATATCTATATTTTGCCACGTGATACTAAAAATAGAAATTGGAATTCCCCTCAACAATTATCCATACAAGATAGTGGTGTCCAGATCTTGTCATTAACATCTCAAATTTTACAAAATATTTCCTAATTACGCAGCATCTACATCTAAAAAGTTCCTGAAAAGATGCAATAATCTACATTTTCTCAATTATTCGATTAATCTATTTTTAGACCATTGTTGCCATAAAATATTCAATAATGTAGCAATTACAAACATATGTACATTCTGAAACATCCAATTAGAACAAAAATGCCATTTTCCTAATATTCAGAGATATATCTATATTTAGCTACGTGATGCTAAAATTTTCATGTTTTCCAGCTCTTGTCATTAAAATCTCAAATTTTACAACATACGTTCTAATTATGCAGCAATGACAATTTAAACTTTGCCAAAATTTGATTTTTCACATTTTTCTAAAATATATCTATTTTTAGATACATGTTACTAAAAATAGGATCAAAAGCCTACTTATGTTTTTTCATGAGATGACACTACTTTTTCCCAAGTATCATAACATACGTAAGATTTGGGAAATTTCCGCGGACAATTTTTCTTATTTAGTGTCAAAGATCTCAAAAAATTCCAATTTCTCCATTTTTCAAATTATTAGAAACCATGTCAGTTTGCATGACCTTTTTTTTACAGGAGGAATATTTCTAGAATAAACGATTATATGCCCTGTGTACCTTAAAAGGTCGTGTTATCATATGATCCAATGATTTTTGTTAGAGTGTGTTAGAAACCGATAAATATTCATTTACATTTCCTCAATTTTCATGTTTTCATTTAGTCAAAATGGGCCAAAAATGGCCGAATTCAATGGATCCGTCTCCATTGCAACCAAGTGCACGTGTGGAACTTCCGACACCATATTTACTAGTTTTGTACCATGACACACCTATGGTGAAAATTTCATCAAAATCCGAGACATGTCGTTTCCAAGCCCTATAGTAAATTCGTTGGTGCTTACAGAGAATGCGTGTTAATATGCATTATCATATAATGCAAGTATAATTTACATAAAAAGTAATTAACAATTAATAAACTCTCATTTTTTCAAGATATTTTACCGATGCAGAGATTGAAGATATAATGAAGGTGACCCTCAAATCTATCATTTTAAATGTGACCGATGTTAAAGACGACGAAATTCAAGACGACGTTTTTATTCATAGTAAGTAAACCAATTAAAGTAAGACAAGGGGAAATTAACTGGCAAGATTATAAAAATTCGCAATTTAGGCCAAAACTATTTCCATATGTTACCTTAAAAACAAATAATCATAGACTATGAAATCGGCGGGGACTATTCCAAACGAACTGCAGTCTAGTGCAAATTTCATTTTCAATCCACCTCAAATATTTTCATATGCAGATGATTAAATCTTTGATCTAATTAAACATACAATTTCTTTTTGTTTTTATTTTGATAGAAGATGAGTGTTTAATATAATTAAACTGAATTCACATTTCCTATACAAAAATATTGTACGCAATGGGAAAAATATTATGTTAAAAAATACAATTTTTCAAACATAACTATTTTGTTTATCGAAGTACTGTAGGTATTAATTAATTAAATCGAACATGTAATTAATTTTGAGAATTTTCTGTAGATAATTCAACTGGGGATGTCTGCCCACAACCCCAACCATTGAAGGCTGATTCTAATGAGATGTATAAAAATACCGGTATTCACATCATAGAAAACTGTACGTCAGTACAACACTACGACTACTTTTCCGGAAGTGGAGCAGCATTCATTCTGACTTTTGTAGCACTAGGACTCTGCGTTCCAGGTTAGCCTTAAGAGGGCTGGGTAGTTTTAGCCATTTTTGAACTATATTGATCTCATTAGTAGAAGAGCTCCATATAGAAATATACATGTACAAAAATGATTAAAATTTTAAACTTAAATTTATGACTGAAATTTTTCTTTGTTAAATGGTAGTTGACAGTTTAAGATATCGTAGCTAAAAAACAAGATATATCTGTTGGTTAATTTGTTGACCCCCAGCCTCCTTAAAATTCACCGTGTATATCCCAACATGCGGGGTGTATACTATGTTGTGCGCGGGGTGTATGCTTCCGAAGCGACAGAAAGGGGGTTAATGTAGGTTCTTTGTCCATTTTCTCACTTTACGGATATTTTTCGCCAGAAAGCATATGCCTACGGAAGAAAGCATTATCTAAGGAGTATATGGATACCTATGAATCCACTGGACACCTTCTAGTTTTATCAAACACCTCAACACAGTTCCGAGGATCGGAGCAAGATTGACGCTACAATGTGTTTATGGTCAAATATTAGAAGAAAGCTTTGCTTTATCATCACTTTTATATTATTGTTAAATATATGTTTACTATATAAACGTTTGTTCAAATTGTCTATAAATAAGACAGTTCGCATGTAAAGATATTGACGAAAAATCAATGTTGTGTCCGGGGTGTATGCAACATGTTGTACGCGGGGTGTATACCCCTCTCTTTACTCTATAGTATCATTGTCTGAAATATCATTAAAAAAATTCTTAACAATTGTTTTTTGTGAAAGATATATTCATTTTTTAAGTTATTAACCAGTTTTGTAACTGCTTTACTTCGTGTATATACGATAATAAATTAGAAGAGGGGTGAACATTAATTGATATTAAATACACGTCAACGTGAAATTGTAATTGTACCTTAACAGTTTTTTTTTCAATTATGCATGCCCTCAAAAAATTGTCATCCAGTATTATAAATGTGCATTTTTATAGCTGGCTTTACATCTTTATTGTGATTTATAAAATATGAAATCTTTTCAGATAAGGAAAAATGAGTCCATATGTTCAAAAATTGAAAGGAAAATTAATTTAATATATCATACAAACATGAAGTATCACCCCCCCCTTTTTATTTCAAACACAACTTTTCACTACAGAAAATGTTCATCGAAAGTAAAGTTGCCCCCCCCCCCCCCTTTTGTTGCAGCATAGTCAAACAATGATTATGTAGTGTGTTAAAGTAATTGAATTAAAATGGGACCTTCAACCCCATCTGAAATAGGATTTTTGAGTTTCGATAAGCCCCCCCTTTTATAGCTAGTCAACTTATGTCAAGTTTTTTTTAGGTACCCCCCCCCCACCTTTCAAAGAAAATTCTGCATCACTGTCATAAATGTTTAAGAAGACATGTATTGATAACATAAAAGTTGCAGAAACAGAAAAGAGATTTATTCATAATACATCATTCATGTACTGTTTCCATTATTTTAAACAAGCGAAATATTTAGATTAATTAAAAAGTGTCATCAATGACTCTTTGGAGAGATTTTATGATTACGTAGATTTAGACCATCTACAGTGTAGCATTAATTCAGATAACAATCGCTCCCTGCATATCTAGCGCCTATTATGTTTGAATATGATAGTTTGTTTTTAATTTTTTTTATTCTCTTGATTTTTCAAAATTTAGTTAATTCGTTTTTTTACTTCAGTAAGTTTATGGACTTTACTTTTTGGTTCCAGCTTTAGTATTAAGGTCTTTTATCAACACTACCTGTCGCTTATAAACCTGTGTAAATAATATTTCTATAGATACTTCACACTAACAATCTTAAGAAAAATATGGGTATACACCCCGCGTACATCATGTTGCATACACCCCGGACACAACATTGATTTTTCGACAATATCTATATATACGAACTGATTTATTAACAGACAATTTGTACAACCATTTATAAAGTAAACATGTATTTATCAATAATATAAAAGTGATGATAAAGCAAAGCTTTCTTCTGATATTTGATCATAAACACAGTGTAGCGTCAATGATTTAGGTGTTTGATAAAACTAGAAGGTGTCCAGTGGATTCATAGGTATCCATATACTCCTTAGATTATGCTTTCTTCCGTAGGCATATGCTTTCTGGCAAAAAATATCTGTAAAGTGAGAAAATGGACAAAGAACCTACATTAACCCCCTTTCTTTTAAAACGGTGAAATTGATTAAAACATATTGTGATATTAATATACAAAAAGGTAAAATTTAATATCTGATAATTTCGATCTGATTTTATTTTATTGTTTTGAACGTTTGGTAGTATGCATTTTAGATAAATAACACCTAACATAAGAAAAATATGAATAAAAAGATTTTAAAAATTAAATGCTACGTAATGAAAAATCATTGTAAATAATCTATATATGATAATAACTATAACAAGTTTTATCAATTATTTCAGGGACCGTCGGGATAATGGTGTGCATGGCCAAGATGCGAGCGAGGCAAATGCAGCGAGGTCGACAGAGGCGATCACCCCACCGCCCTAATGATGACCCTAACGTTTTCACAGGTATATTGAATGTAAATTATGTTGTATCAGAAACTAGTGTTTGACTGTACCAGAGAGATCGGATAAATTTTTTGTTCAATAAACTGACGAGTGCCTGATGTCAGAGTCTTATTTTCATTTGATAATGATCAAGTATGAAGATTAAATTTAGTAGCGGATCCAGGAGTCTTAGAAGGAGCGGGGACCAGTTTGGGTCGGGGTAGGGGCCCACAGCTACACAAAAAAAAATAAAATTTTTATGTATATTTTGGACACAAAAGGGGGGCTCTCTAAATTCGCCAGGGAGATTAGTGGGCGAATTACTTTAAACAATAATATTCATTTTACTTAGTTGTACAGCAAATAGCTAAAATCTACAGTTAAACCTAGGTATCTCGGATACAGATACCTCGAGTACGATGATTATATCGTAAAAGTCACTTTAAAGTCCCAACAACTTTGCCGTAACGTGTGTTTACCGGAAATGTCTTTAACCCTTAAATTGGAGATCTATAATTTAGTTGTTTTTAATCTCTGTCAAAACGAGTTCAAAATGATTAGGCTTGACTGTATGCAGTATGAATTTCCAACATCGGCTAATATTAAAGCTTGAAGAATAATTGCTTTTTGATTTGATTCTTAAGTCCTAATGATTGTTTTATATCAAAAATAGATTTTAATCATCATAATGTCACTGTGATTTTAGCTGTTGAGTGGGTTGGTCCAAACTCAGATGAGCGCAACGTGAAGGTAAAATTTGACCGAACTCGGAAGAAGATTCACGTAGAAGACATGCGCAGAAAACCATTACGAATGTTGGATCTGAGAACTGTGAAAGGCAAAGTGCATTACAGAACGGCAACAGACGGACTTCAGAATGTCATTTCTATCCGTATATCGGGGGAAATTGATCTGGTTAGTGCCTCTAATTAACAATGATTTTTGATATAGTTACTAAATAAAGTTGTATATGAATCTGTGTAACAGCGTATGATGTATAATTTCTTTGTACTTGTATATGGAAAGGAAGTGATGTTCATGCAAATGTATAAGCATTAGGCGACAAATGCTTATACACATTTGAGGTAAACGTTTTGCAAAGCCTGTCTGAATACTGTATAATGTCTTCCTCCTTTTGTGAAGTAGTTTTCTGAATATCTAAGGATATGTAAAATGTTTTGACACACTGAGCAGAAAAGACACTTCTAATAAGCAAAGCGAAGTACATGTTAAAATAGTTTTCTATGGCAATAGCTAGCCATAAGCACTCCAAAATCCAATGTAGTCCATGGGTGTATGATGTTAAAATTGAAAAAAAAACGTCTTCATGTGATGTTTTTCCTGAGAAAGTAAAAAATATTCCATTTTCCAGGTTCTCAAGTTTTTGGATATGGAGGAACGAGAAAAATTCAAGAAGAATTTGGATAACTTTTTGGTTGACCTTCAGATTGAAAGAGAAATTCACCAGTTCTCAGAAAAATGGATCTACGATAACGCTAACACAAAAGAGGAACGGCAAAAATATCTTGATAAATTTTTCCGCGTTATTTGCCTTCAGGTAAAATATTAGAAACATACTTCATTAACGTTTACAAACTCTTGTTGGGTCCAGTTTTAGGTGTAGTTATAAATAGATCCAAAACTATTTTCCCGACTTTCGTGCTTAGGCGAATGTTTCTCTGGACGGCAAAAAGAAGAGATAAGGAACATGATTCTTAGAAAACGGGGACGAGATAAACTAAATCGTACCTGTTTGATTACTTATGAGTATAAAAAAAGGTAAAAATTTTGGTACTAGGACCATGCCAAAATTTTTTATCGTTCATTACGTACATACGACGAAATCCAAACATTAAAAAACGATATTTTGAAAAAAAAAATAACATTGGAATGATAAATTATAAGTATTTTTTCTGCCATGCTAATGTTATGTGGATTATTCATAAATTCATCGGTTTCTATATAGTACTCAAACAACCACAGATGATTTCTAGTCTACCAAAGTAACCGAATGCCGTTTAAAGCATCAAATCTAACACAAATTTGTCTTTCTTTTAAATATTGTATGAATCAAACTGGATGCAATATTGTCGTTTTCATCTAAAGGCTTTCAACAAAAACCCCGGACAAATGCAAATAGAGAGTATGAGTGGAGATGATCTAAATAGAGTAACAAAAATACAACTCACAAGAACGGAATTCGCCGACGCACTGGGACTAAAACCGAATTCTATATTTGTACGGAACATGTTTATGATGGTTGATAAGGATAACAGTGGATTTGTGAGCTTCCAAGAGTTCCTCGACATGTTTGTGGTTCTGGCCTCAGGTACTATTTTGATAACAATCTGTTTATTATTGTTGTAATAAAAGGTTATAATTAAATAGTCAAAATTGATAAGTACGTTTTCGAGAGTATAATCTTATCCCAGTGAACTTGTTCATTGATCAATACCTTTTACTATATGCACACTAATAGTTTGACCCTCTATTTTGACTTTTCCAAGTAGCATTTACGTCATAGTTTTGGAAAAGAAAAATCTGCGTAAGAATAAGATAAGAAAACTTCTGTAGAAACTGTAAAAAAAATCATATACATGTATCAAGTTTCTTCAGTACTGTTGTTACTAGAATATTATCTTTAACATTTCTTATTAAGGCGATGCCGACGACAAAACAAGACTGATCTTCAATATGTACGACGTCAAAAAGCAAGGAAAACTAACAAGCAAGGAGTTTGCCCGCATGATTCAGTTTGTAGCTTTGCGTTTTACCTTAAGAAATGGTTTCTTTAACTTAAACCCGTTAAAAATGTTATTCTTGCATTTTACCATATGGAATCTTCATTGTTCATGGGGGGACCAATGTTCGTGGATGATGTGGGTCGCCCATACATTTAAATTAACCCCCACGAATTTACAGCCCTGCAAACATGTATTTTGTAATCAAATTGATTCATTGAATCTACTATATGATCAATAACTCACAAAATAATATCCCAACGAACAAGTTAATTAAAATTTGCTTAACCACGAAGATTGACCTCCACGAATTAAAATTAATCCACAGTAATTTTGTTTCCAAAGATCGTGTTCAAAAATTACTGATTTTTTTCTCATAAATACAGTGTATAATGGAACTTTCTCAAAAAAGAATGTGTCATGAAAAATTGACGATATTCAGTAAAGTCTATGTAGTAAACTTATTTTAATTGGTTCCCAGTTCCATGCTAGATCTCTCAGATTCATCCATTTCCGAAACCGATATGAAAGCTTTGATGGGTGCCATGTATAAGGCGGTAGGACTAAAAGAGAATTCCGATATTGACTTCGAAACCTTCTCCAGAATTTTTGCTTCGGATGAATACAAAAGTACCTTACAGAAAGCAACACTTGGAATAGACGGTAATTTTTTCCCGTCTTTTATCGCTGTCTACACAATTCTGCTTTATGAATAATTACTTTATAAGCATTCTGGGATAAAGTTTGGTCCGTTTTCCGATTTCTGATTGAAAAATGAAGAGTATTTTGCTTTGGATGACAATTGCAATAATTATTACATTAAAACAAATTACTGAGAAGCTTGTAAAATTACTGTGTTAAATCATTTTTCAAAAAGGTAAGATATCACTTTGGCGAGGATACATGCACATTGAACGCAACAGGCTATTGCTAAAGTAGTTGACCTTTCTGATTTTGCTTATCTTCAGTCATGCAGTTGTATACTTTTTTGTATTGCAGCACTCGGAAGAGATGGTAAAAGTGATGGAAAATCAAGTATGGCTAAAAAAAGAACTTCATTCTTTCAAAGCTACAAGTGAGACTGATTGTTATGTACACTCGATGAAATTTTTATAATTTTTAAATCAGTATAATTATTTTAATGTGTTAAACTAAGTGATCAGAATTGAAACATATCTGATAATGTGGAAATTGCAGGATGGATACCGATAGGTAAAAAAAAACTTACTTGTATAGCACTGATTGTCAAACATACATCTTTTTAAAATTTCACTTTGACCATATATTTGCACCACCCACACTCCTTTAGTTTGATTTGGTGTGTATCCTTTAGTTTCTAATCAAACATTTTATCAATTGAAATATAATGCTTAATAATTAACACAATTTAATATCCTTGTCTTTTTTTAATGGTTTATGAGTTTATAATAATATTCTATTATGGTTAAATATTGGTTTTTAATGTATCTATTAAAAATTCCAGATATAATTAACACAATTTAATATCCTTGTCTTTTTTTAATGGTTTATGGTATTAACATTCATAAAAAACTTAACATGTCAAATAGATTTTAACTGCACTTCTCAAGTAATATATTTACAGTTTTATCTATATAGTGTTGTTTCGTAGTTCTCTACACATATTGAACAATTTCTATATGCGAACACTTTCTTACACAAATACGTTGATGATACAAGGGTGTCTTTAATTTCATTTTACTCAACAAATCCTATAAGTGATGATTTTTTCCACTAAATTCAGTATAACATTGAGACAAAATGTTTATGGCATGTTTCATATACATTGTCAGCTTATTATTTTTACATTGAGTTATAATATATATCAATGATTTTTTCATCTGATCATTACAAGAGACACATGACGTGTGTGACCGGTGGATATAGCATGCTCACTCCTCCATGGCTCCTGATCCAACTTCTTTTTTTTTTCAAATTTAACTGTGCCCAACCTTTGTTTTTGGAATAAATAGAGTCTTGAGTGTAATCACTGTTAATCTTAACATTTTATTAATTGATTTTGAAGTAAAATAATAAAAATTTAAAGTATTATCAACTGCAACACAATAGTCTATATACTGTATCATTTCCCTGCTTCTCCTAATAATTACTATACACTAAGTGTATATAAACTGTTTCTGAAATGTTATTTAGGAGACGCAACGGACAGGACAGGTATTGTGGGCAATTTGTGGCAAAGGGCTGAATACCTTCGCTTTAATATTTTTATAGCTAATTTTTTTTTGTACTAGCTAAGTTTGCTAGGGTTAATCTTTATTTTTGTTCCCATATTTTGTATTTCAGATTTTATTTATGGAAAATTAAGTAAAAATATTTGTTAATTAAAATTGTCAAATTGTATATTTATCATGTCGTTTACAATGCCCCAAAAAGGGTATTGATTTCATTTTTTTAAAAAAAGTAGCGAAAAAAGTGCAATTTCTTATGAAATATGAGTTAATCAAAAATGTACATTTATCATGTTGTTTACAATGCCTAAAAAGGGGGATCAATTCATCTCTGAAAAGATATAGCGAACCAAGTGTACTTTCTTGCCTTTTCTTGCTTGTTACAATTCTACCACCAGAAAGTTTTCAAACTGAAATCAAGAGCGGTTTGTGGCAACGCACTTTGAAAAAATTACGCACTTTGAAAAAAATTTTCAAAGTGCGTTAAATTTGTTAAAAATTAATGGCATTTTTAAAAATTTTTTTCAAAGTGCAGTTAAACCACTGGGCCAGGAAACGCACTTTGAAAAAAATTTTCAAAGTGCGTTAGGTAGTGTACATCAATGTATTTTACCATGGTGACACTTAACGCACTTTGAAAAAAAATCATATTTTAGTCATGGAAAATATATTGGAAAAATCTTTAAAAAACAAAGCCTAACCCTAACCTCAAAAATGAATTGGCCAGGAAAGATGAGAACTCATGTGGAATCATCCTCAGGTAGTGTAGATCTTTATCTTTCCAATACATAGGTGTCGGTAACAAACGGGGGAGGGGAGCAATAAACCTAAAATTAAGGGTACGCTGCATTTTCAATGCTTATACAATGTATATATATTTCCAAAACCACTGGGCCAGGAAAGATGAAACTCATGTGGAATCCTCCTCAGGCCCTTCGCCAAGTTTGTGTCTATGCTATACTCAAAGCATTCATATAATTATATATTTACCTAACTGGTATGACGTTGAAAATATATATATAATTAAAAAGATGAAATTTAGAAATTTTTAAGTACAGTAAAACGTATGAGAGAGAAAGAATTTTCATAGTTTTGAACAATCAAATTGGCCGCTTGTTTTTATTATAAATGCTAAGTTGCTTGAAACTGTCCTCTGTTAGTGCCCCCTATACACCTTTACATCTACTTATCAAAGACTAGAATTTAAAAAAAAAAAGAAGAAAAGAATTAATGAACTTAAACAATCGTCACTCTTATTTTCAAGACCCTTTAATTTTCCCTTAATTTATTTTATCACAACCTTCAATATTTAAAACGTCAATATCTCAGGTCCTACAGTGACTTTATCAAAAAAAGTTATCAAAAAAGGCAATTTGTTATTGAGCATACCGATTATTTGAAAAATGTACATCTTTATCATTTTTTTACAAAGTGCGTTAATATGGTCGATATTAACGCACTTTGAAAAAAAATTTAAAAATTTAAAAAAATTTTCAAAGTGCGTTAGCTTGGTCCCAAATTTTAACGCACTTTGAAAATTTTTTTCAAAGTGCGTAATTTTTCAAAGTGCGTTGTAACAGCGGTTTGACCTGTTTTTTTTCTCGTTGAACTTTGCTCAGGTAATGTGTTGGCTATTACAGATGGAGAAGCTTTTCAGTAGCGAAATTGAATTGAATATGTGCTATAGAATTTAAATGTAGCGCGTGAGTCAATGTCGAGCGTTGCTTTTCAAATATTCTGAAGATTTTGCTTTAATTTGTATTCTTTTCAGTTGAAGAATATAGTATATATCTTAACGTAACAATTAATCTTTACAAAATGAAATACATGTATACCCAACTTCAAAACTTAGGAACTAGAAAAATATGTCACGTTAACTTTATGACTGTGATTTGCAGAACTCTTCAAAGAACGAACACAAAGGTTAAAGTGAAAGCAAGGACAGAGCAACTTCCGACAACACCCTTGGGACAAAGGCTTTATGAGTTTACCAGAAAAATAGAAAACAATCGACTTCAGATATTTTGGCTTACTCTTTATATTTTAGTCACCTTAGGAATTTTTTTGGAGAGAGCTTTTTGTGAGTAAAAATCTTATTTAGACAGAAATTAAATATGCTGCTCCACTGTTTTTTTTTCTTTTCTTAACAATTGTCTTTCTCGTTAGACTACTCATTTGAAAGAGAACACGCTGGACTACGCAGAATCGCCGGATATGGCGTCACAGTAACACGTGGTGCAGCCAGTGTAATGATGTTCACGTATTCCAGTCTCCTTGTTACCATGAGTAGGAACACCATAACATTTCTAAGGGAGACATTTCTTCATCGGTTTATCCCTTTCGATTCTGCTCATGCCATGCACAAAATAGTAGCCATGATTGCACTTTTATTTACAGGTAAACTGCAGCACGTCTGACATTCATTTATCTTTTAAGCTGGATTTTTGATTTTAGAGTTTTTGTGAGAGCGTGGAATTGTAGAATCATTTTGAGGTAGTTGAAAAATTCAAATTTTATTTTTATTGACAGAAACATTTATTATATGTCTTTTCAGTGATGCATTGTGTCGGACATGGTATCAACTTATATCATATAAGTACACAGGCATCAACAGACTTAAACTGTATCTTTCGAGAATATTTTAGAGCGTAAGTATTAATTCAAACGTTAATTAATCAATAAAATGTTTCAGGTATGAATTTACATGTAAATAAGAGTACTGAAATCGCTGAGACAAAAACTTATTGCAAAAAACTTTAAGGCCAAATATATCGAATTAGTTGGTTTATTATAAGTTTAAATGATGATTTTGCTGCAATAAATACCTACTGTATAGAGGGTTATTTTTGTCCCATGTTATTTTCGCCCTTTCAGAATTGCAAACAATTACTAGTATGCCCTGTTTTAAATTCGCCCTGTCACAGTTTTGTTTAAGAAATTATATTGTTTTTTGAATTCGCTCCGTTTAAAATTCGGTCACCTGTGAATAGGGCGAAATTTATTTTTCTGTAAACATGCACTGCATTACTAATGTACGGGGGCAAAATCAGCAGGTTTTGTTCACATGGGGAAATGAGACGTTATTTTTATTAGTTCGGTAAAACTAATTCATAAATGATAACAAGTAAAAATCATGAGTAAAGTATTTTCAAAACTTGTTTTAAACTAAGTACTAATTGTTGTTATTATATTTCAATTTCATTATCATTTTTCATCAGATAATTGATAATTAGTGGTTTTCTGCATTTTGCACCATGGCTTCTTGCAGCATAGCCTATTCTGCAGAAACCATGGGCATTACATGTATTAATTTACATTACATGACAATAAATTCTTATCATTCATCATTTACATCGATGAATCTATTTATGAGCAAATGCGGTGAAATGTCAATTTTTTTACTTTTTTAAAATTATTTATTTTGCTTTTAAAAAAAGCCTAAAATAATGAATCCTTGACGGTATTTCACCTGAATTCACACCCTTTTGTCATGGACGCTTTTAAAATTATGAAAGAATTTTTTTAATGCTATATTTTGTGCGCGGTCCATTTGATGCTTTGCATCAGTTTTGCTTGTTTTTATAATTAGATTCATCGCTCAAAAATGTTTAAACCTTAAATCACTGAATCCCCGCCCTATTGTTTTGGACATGGAACTTTTAATATCCTCAAATCAAGGTAAAGTTATGAAAAAATTCCAAAAATTTCTGCAACTATGCAAAACTGGATATTACCAATTTATTTTATTATTTGTTTATTATTAATATATTTGTATATTAATAACATTGTTGAATTATTTATTATTTAATTCTATTTTGATTTTATTTTGTCATTTTACCTTTGTTATGTATATATTGAATATGTTACTTGGTGCCTTATCATCGTAAAACTGCTCTCCAACATTTGAAAGTTGCTGTAGTGTATTTATCACTTTCAAACTCGACTTCTTTCAGAGGACTTCTTCAGTATGATGACCTTAGTTGCCATATTCTACAATTAAACATTTATTTCAATTGCTTGACATACATGTACTTATATTAACCAATTGCATGAAATGTGCTGTAGAAAAGATAACAACATAGTCGTCAACCTACAACTTATATCAACATACTTGTAATATATGTAACCTGGATTTAAATCATACCTTTTTCAGTACAGATGTTCTAGCCTCGTTCCAGTACTGGGCTTACGGGACGATCACCGGTCTGACGGGGATCATACTAACGCTTATTGTTATCGTCATGTACGTGTTCGCCACGCCCTACGCCAGGAGAAACGTCTTCAATGCTTTCTGGTTCACCCATAGTTTCTACATTCTACTCTATATCTTTATGGTGATGCACGGTACAGGAAGGCTTGTTCAGCCTCCATTGTTTCAGAACTATTTCTATGGGCCTTTGTTTATATTCGTTGTGGATAAATTCATCAGTCTCAGCCGAAATCAAGTCGAGATTGATGTTATATCTGCAGATCTATTACCATCAGGTATGTACATGTATGGCTGTAATATGTAATACCTTTTGTGTAAAACACTGCATCAACTTGACTTTGTTCACATTCTTTAATTCATATATACAGAATTTGAAAAATATAAATTGCAAGACGCACATTTAAAAGTATAACTGACAATGCCTTTAAGGGGAAATGAGAAAGAAAAAGAGACACTAAGGGAGAGTGATCCTCTATATCAGCTGGAAACAAGAGCCCCTATAAAAATATAAATATATACCGGTACTCTATTTTACACTTTTATTTCAGATGTCACTGCTCTGAAGTTCAAGCGTCCAATTAACTTTGAATATAAATCTGGTCAGTGGGTCAGAATCGCCTGTGTAAAATTAGGTAAGAGTGAATACCACCCGTTTACGCTGACGTCTGCGCCTCATGAAGATTATCTCAGTCTGCATATTCGAGCTGTTGGCCCCTGGACGACAAATCTTAGGAAAACATACGATGCTAATAAGGCCAGTTCAGAAGATTGGACTCCACCAAAGGTAGAAATCTGTATTGCATGTTCATATAAGTTCGTTTCACTTTTGCCCCCCAATTGGGCGTGTCTTTATCATTTTACAGTAGATGTGTTAAATTTTTCCTGCTCAAGTTTGTCACAACATATTTAAAACGTAATAACATGTTAGAAATACACGTACAAGAACATTCCAAGAAAAATGCGTAATTGCAGATGAATGGATTGAAAACTGATTTCGCAAAAAACATTGATCTAATTCAAAAAGTGCATTTAAAGTATTACAATGTTTAGAGATAAACAGTCTTTCCAATATTGCCATTAAGAGTTCCGAGTAATCCAAATACTATAATTTAAACTTCGGTTACTGTTTTTTTTCCCAAGGTCTTGTTGGACGGTCCGTTCGGGGAGGGTCATCAGGATTGGTATAAGTTTCCGGTTGCTGTGTTAGTAGGCGGCGGGATCGGTGTAACACCATTTGCGTCCATTTTAAAAGACATCGTTCATAAAACATCACAACCTATACAGTTTCCTTGTCAAAAGGTAAGTTACTGAGAAACCTTTTGGTATGAATTACTTTAATTTTTAAGTACTATATATAAATAAGAACTCTTGCTGTAAGAAAAAAATGTTTTTAGAAAATCAGTATAACCTTTCTTTGTGATTAAACATTGTTCAGAAGTGCGCTGGCAAAAATGTAAGTGAAAAATATGCTTTATCAAAACCTATTCATATTTAGCTCACAGAACATAGACCACAGTTTGTCTTTTAAAAGAGATCATTTTATCATACATGTTTATCCAACTAGGTATATTTTCTGTGGGTGACCAGAACCCAGAAGCAGTTTGAATGGTTAACAGATATCATACGAGAAGTAGAAGAAAATGACAGGAGAGAGCTGGTGTCTGTCCATATTTTTATTACACAATTCCAACAGAAGTTTGATCTGAGAACAACTATGCTGGTATTAATGATCTGTTCATTTTAGCTTAATTGAATAAACCTCATTTTGCACGACTTCTTGCCCATGTGTTTAATTAGATAGTAGTAATTGATCGACCTATATGTAAATCCGGGTTTGTTCAGAATCATATTTTTCTAAGAAAAGGAAAACAACATAACGTATATAATGAATTATCAAATTACCTATTTAAAACATTTAAGGTAAGTAAAGGTTAAAAGTTCAAATTAATGGATGAAACATTATTGTTCTAGTACATCTGTGAGCGTCATTTCCAAAAGATTGCTGGGAAAAGTTTGTTTACCGGACTGAAAGCAATAACGCATTTTGGAAGACCCCAGTTTCAAGAATTTTTGGAATCTCTACACAGCGAACATCCAGAGGTAGACCAGTGCTTTTATTCACCCATTTTTTCTTAATTTCATTACATTTTGTGGCAAAAATTATTTAAATGCTACATTTGGTACACTTGTGTTTTATATATCAACTAAAATAACTAACACGTACATGTATCGGCAACAAGTCAAATTATACTTGTATTATCAATAACGTTGGTCTCTAACAAATACCAAAATATCATTGTAGGCAAAGCAGATAGGTGTATTCAGCTGTGGGCCTCCACCAATGACCTTGAATGTAGATAAGGCATGCGCAGAGGCCAACAAAAATGAAGGATTCCCTACTTATTCACACCATTTTGAAAACTTCTAGTTGTTTATGGTCCATGCAATCACTACCTTCAACCACTGACAGTACCCGTTAAAAAAGTTTGCAAATTTTGTCTTCTAGATATTAAGAATGCATCACACCTTAAATCAATTCTTGTGTCTCACCTAATTTGATTCTATTAATAAACTGAAAGCAAAGATCAGTGTGCTATACGGGTGAAACGAGTATATGTACCCAACTGTACATTTGATATTTATATATATGTATAGTAAATATATATATCATGTATAATATACTCATTATGATAAATCTATGTATTCATAACTAGTTAAATTCAGAATCTTTAAAATTATTCCGTTTGTGTGACTAGAATTTTTAATCATGTTAATTGTCTAAGAAAAAAAGGGACAAGAGTATTTACTTAAAGTAATGCTTAAAGTTGAAACTAAGCAAAATGAATTTGCATTTATATGTATCTTGCAGAATATTTGTTTTAGTGTTGAATTAATTTTTGGACTATTTTTTTTTTCAATTTAGTTCTAATCAGGCATTTCATACTATGCCATTTTTATGAAATGGCACCTGGAAATGTCAGGAAATTTTCGTATAAATATAAAATTGTCTTTGTATGGAAGATACACCACAAGAAAATTGGGACTTTTGCTTGAAATGTTAATTGCTCAGCATTATAAATAATTATCATAAGTGTATTATAAAAATATTTTCACTATTCGATGACTTCCTACTCGCATTTAAGTGTTGATTGTACAAAACAATTATAACACGATACCATTTTATTTAATTTAGAGTTGTGGATTATTTCTGTAATTACAAATTTAGATATTACTAAGGTGCAATTTTCGACAATCATGTATTAGTATCTAAACTAAAACTACTTAATGTATACGTTAATATTTTTTTTAATTATTATGCTTTAAAGTTTTGGTATAAACCACACACAAAAATACATCATACTTTGAAATTCCTTAATCAGTTGTTTATTATAATGATTTTATAAATACATACGTTTCACCTTGTACTTGAAAATTTTTGTATGTGTGTAAACACAAAGTAATTTTTTTAAAGATTATTCGAAAAACAAAATGTTTTTCTTCATTTGATTCCAAAAAAATTCAAATTAAATTTTAAAGACATTTCACGGCATTGTGCATGTATTTTGTTTTATATAAGATTTTTTAAAGGAAATATTAATTAGTTAAAACTAATTTTTTGCACATTTATATCATTTGTGATGATAACGAAAATGAAGAATATTTATTGGATGTTTTTTATTTTATATACAATTTATATTCAATGATGCACCTTCATTTTTATATTTTTACATTAAAAATCAATATGTTTTCTCATTTGTTTTATTTTTTCCAAGCATTAGTATCAACGATTAACGTGTTATTTGTTTCATCAAGATATTGCATACGAAGGGAATCCTGTTTCCAAATATCGTTGATATCCTTTAAAATATATTGCAGCAAACTAGACAGTGGGTATTTGTTTTTTATGAATTAAAGATAATATATAGAGATAGTTAACAGTATTCAAACTTAAAGTCAATGAAAGCAATACAAGCGGAGCAGACACTGACCTCCAAAAACATCAAGAGATCAGAGTACTTCTAAATGACTTGTGACATGACCTTTCTAAGGACCTCACTAATTTACATGCGTATTTGGGTACATACCTCCCAGCCAATCAGATGATTTTGCAGAAAGTTGATTTAGTATCCCATTTTAAGCATTCGCAACTGAAATGCCGAGTGAGGTGGACATGCAGGTATTTATCATTTTAATATTATTTAAGGGATGCATAAATTAGAGTTAAATTTCATTAAATTAGAGTAACCAAAGGGGGATACAGCACTCACTGGTGACCCCATTCCACCTTCTTTGAGTTTTTTTTCTTTTTCGCTTTCGTTAATTATTTTTTTTCTAAACTTGTATACATACACTTTTTAATTCATCAACAAGTAACGAAATGACGCACATATGTGTTGGTTGATTATAAATCTACCCCCACAAAATACGATTTTCCGTTTTTTTAAAATGGGGGTTATAATAATTTGTGAACTGGCCCACTCCCTCCTTTTAAAATTTTTGAATCCGAGGAATAATAATACCTTTACGTTGTAAAATTTTATTCTTAATTCATCTCAATTTTTGAGTAAATACTAACAGTTCTATGGCGAACTGAACGATTGGTATGTCTGTATACGGATACAGCTCTCCGTCATCGCTAAAAATAAACCGTACTGTATCGTTGATATTTTGCAGATAATACAGTTTCTGCTCATTTGCATAATAAACGCCCACAAAAAGTGTTCTGTATCGCAGTTACAGTATGCTTGACTTCAAAGGAAAACTCGCCGGGTCATGTCACAACAGTATTCAAACTTAAAGTCAATGAAAGCAATACAAGTCGGGAGCGGAGCAGACACTGACCTCCAAAAACATCAGAGATGAGATCAGGTGCCGTGAAGGAGAAGGCGTCCCCTAGTCACACGCGCCGTGTGCTCCTAATGACTGTGTTCAAGAAAAATAAGTTTCACACAATTTAGTGTGCAAAAACCGTACTTCAACCTTCGATTTCATGATAGATTGTATTTTGCTAATAAGATCAGTGTATCGACCATTGATTTGACTTTTAATTAGACTGTTGACATCCTTGTTTCAGCAAGTTATTTATCAGTAGCTTGTCTTGTTTCAGAAATTATCTGAATGTAGAGAATGCTCTTGCATATCGAATCAACTGGGAGACATAAGTCCCATTTGCAAGTGATAAGGGTATCATGCCCCCAGATGAGTGTTTTTGAAAAGTTGAAGTCCTCGCTTTTTCATAAATTTTTGTTATAATATTACCATTAGCGATGTACCCCATTACTATCTTTTTTAATCAAAATATGATTAAATCCGAATATGAAACAGGCGTGTTTGACCTTTTGTATCGTATTACTTGAGTTCAGAGGAATATATCGAATCAATGTAGGAATGAAAATGATTATTTTTCCTAGATACAGGTCAGATGTCGATATATCTAAATGTTGAATTGAAGGCCACAACAGGTATTTCTCCTTATTACGTACATGTTTTTGAGTGAATTCTTTTACATATGAATACAAAAATAATTCATTTATATTTATTTAGGAATGAATAAAATCGCCACTGTAACCCAAGTTATTCTCGTATAACCTGGGATGGGTGGGACAGTTTATAACCGCTTCACGTTTACTTAGCAAATACAAGTATGTTTTAGTTCCTTTGGAGAAAAATATGAATACATGTACCGGAAAATATATTAGTTTTCTGTAGCAGGTTGCTTCTATATATATCTTTCATCGACTCTCCAATGCACGATTTGGCGACTGGGTACAAAAGATAATACTTAACCTTTTGCATGTAAACACATTGGAGATAAAACATGATAGCTATTGTTATGCAATATTTGTTTTTAATTCATCCAAACAGTTATATGATTAAGATGAAACTGTTACGTTTTGATGTACATAAATTGATATACGGTTGCTGAACTCTAAATATTTCTAATTTAGCATTAGATATTTTTTAAAGTCTGTCAAGTCTATTTTCTGGCACCTCATCTTCTCACAATATGGTTTATTCACCTCTCTCAGTTCTATTTTCCGGCACCAAACCGAATCAGGTGCGCTTTCTGGCCTCCCCATCCTTTTCCTTTAGTCTTCAAGATTCGGATCAAATCAGTGAGACTGTTTCTTTTTACAACAGCATCTTGTAGATAAAAAAAAAAAGAAAATACATGTAATAATAAAATTTGCATTGTTTAATGGGTGTTTGAGCTTGAATTCTGTTCATTGTCTCCTCATATTACACCAATCAAAAAAAAAACAAAAAACAAAACAAATATAATTTCTTTAAACAGTTTTACTTTTGAAATAATCTGCAAAATGGAAACATATCGATTGTACTCAGCCTGCGTTTTGCAAGAAACGTATGTAAGAAATATGATAACATTCCTCGTTTCTAGCCATCTTTCATATATTTTCAAAGTTTTTAAAATTCAGGACAAATCAGAGGGATCGTTGTCGTAAATATATAACTGATACAAAAAAAAGGTTATCTTTAATTTCTTAATAACGAAATTGTTTGTAATCATTTCTGTCTGTTCAAATTGCATATTACATTTCTTAAGTACACTACACTCAGAACAAGTAAATTGTTAACAAAAATAATATACAAACAGAAGTTAGTGAGATGAATATTATTTATGAAAAAAAAAATTTAATTAATATTGTACAATCATCTAGATTATTTTAATTGAAAATAGAAAATTTAAAAAATAATTTGAGCAAAGGAATGTGCTTTACCTTCATCGTCCAGGTCAAAGAAAAGATCTTCTGAATAAGGATAACTGCACACTTGGTGAAGCGCAATGGCAACTAGGAACATCAAAGTCAGTTTGGTGGCTACACCCATCATCTTGAACTTTAGGAATCGAGAAGTAATACTAAGCTGATACAAAAAGCTTCTTATATTACAGAGAAACACTCTTCACTGGTCAATTATTGACGTTTAGAAACATTTTAAAAGCTTTAATATAAATCGAGACATGAAATCGGAAGCTTTTTGTTAAGCTTAAAAAAAAATGACAGTCTCACGCAATGTTTTGAAATGTTAAATGAAAAATATGCCTGGAATAAAAACCAAAAAAAAAAAAATTATCGAGCTAAAAAAACATTTTTTCCCTTTATATTTTATTAAATATGTATATATTCATTTTATTCCAACACAGAGGTAAAACAATATTAAATAGTACTTTGTAGGAAACTAAATAGAGATACACTGTAGTTAAATGTGTTGTTAAGTACTTCATGTATATGTGCGTGATAATCTTGAGAAAGGTGATTTTATGTCTTTGTTTTATGGGAAATAACACTTTTATCTTATATCCGAACACACTGTCTAGGGCCCACAAATGAATACAAAATTAGAAGAAAATTTTGATTATCATTGTTTCTCGTGACGGATGCAGGTACTTTAATCAGTAGTCATTTTCCTGTATAATCCACCTACAAATTTTTGGGCGGGAGGGATGTGAATGTTTTTGTTTTGTTTTAAAGACATTACTGATCTGTCCCCAAGACCATAAACTGGGATCAATTCAATTTATTTGCTTACATGCATAAATTTTCAATTTTGTATAATTAAAAATTTCAAACATATCGAAAAAAAATATTGCTTTCATTATCAAAAGTATTTCAAAAGAAATATCGGTTTAAAATTTTGACTTAGGTCTTTTTTTCACTTAAAGGTCTCGGATATGGGGTAAACTGCAGTCAAATTTTGATACCTTGAATTCGATTGGTTCTTGGAAAAACCTTAAGACATATGAATTAAACCATACTTAATTTGCTTATGCCCCAGTCTGAAACATGGAATTCGTGATTGTTGTGAATTTTGAAAAAAAAAAAAATCCCGCTGGAAAACAAAGCTTGAATAGCAAGCAATCAAAGATAAACATCTGAATTTGAAAAAAAAATTAAAATAATTAACAAAAGTAAAGTACAAATAAAAAAAATATTCATTTATTACTAACATGTAGCTTATTATATCAAAGAAAAAGTAATTTTGAATTAAGACAAATGTAAACAAAAAAATTATATCAAAGAAATAGTAATTTTGAATTAAGACAAATGTAAACAAAAAAGGTGTATTATCACCAAAAAGAAATTGTCTTATTGGTTTAATCTACTATGGCTGTGATGCATCCAGTCCTGCAAAATCATATTTTAAACCCGTTTTCTGAGAATTTTGGGCTTCCTGGATGTTTCAATCATCATTATATCAACCTCGAAAACATCAATCATTGAATGATATTTACAGTCTTAGATAAAATAAATACTGAAAGAAAAATATACATATAATCACTGATAATCGAGGTGTGAAATCAAACTTTAAAGTTAAGTTTTTGTAACTATAAATAAAGTGTGATGATGTATTCCGTTATTTCAAAC